AGTTACTACTCACAATGACTAACACCATAATAGGTCATAACCAAATACAAAAAACGCCATAACTAGGGCATATAGTACACCCCCTCGTATTATAGAATTTTCATTTACTATAAGGCCTTGTTTGTTTGGACAAATTAGATAAGAGAGGATTACAGTAGAATGGATTGGTAGTCATAGGATAAATAGTCCCCAGACTTTTTAACTGGAAATGATATGTATCTTATGTTTGTTTTATCATAAGATTACTATCTTAGTGAATTTCACGTTTAGCTAAAAAAATTATGAATAAAAATAACTGCTCAAAAGATTATTTTTTATATTGTTTAGACCATCTCCAACCATTCACCAAATCCATTATCAAATTCAAATTTGGTGAAAAATCGGTGTTTTTTGTGCTCCAATGGTTGCACCAAAACCGTATCAAAATAAGAAAATATCAAATCTTTCACCAAACTGAGAATGACTCGCCCCTTTCACCAATTTACTGTGCGTAGCCATTGAGTTGGACCCACCGGACGACTAGCCGGATGTCCCCTCTGATGATCGCTTTAAGACAAAAAATTGTGAAAATTTACACTAACAGGTCGACCCACCGGTCGACCACCTTAGCATCTTTTTTACTTCATTTCCATTTTCCCTTGAATCTATTTCCATCATGTTCTCTTTCTCAATTCTTATCTCTGATCCACTCTATACCTCCAATTCCAATTCCATTTCCAATTCTATGAGTATAGGTTTGATCAGTTTATCATCATCTGCTAAAGAAAGAATCTTGGAAGACAGTATTGATTTTGGCTTATCAGAGCCTTGGAGTTGTCTATTGAGATTTGAGCACATCTCCACTTTATGTATACAAAAGTACTTTTGCTGAAGACATTACACACTCAGAGACCAATGAAGAGATTTTGGGGTTCTATCTTTTGTGTTTTGGACACTAACTTTAGTTCATTTTCTTAAATATGTGTTCATTGTGCTCAGAGCCGATGATAATGGCGAAGGGGGCACATTTGCTTTGTACTGCTCCAACCACTTTTGGGTCAAGTCTTCTCCCTCTTGTTGCTAATATCTCCCTTCTCCATCTCCATGTGATATTATTATTATTTATAGATGAAGGAAAGGGATGAAGAAAGGGAATAGATGACAACAGAAATGAAGGCAAAAAAAAAAAAATTTGCTCTTGCCAGTGGACCGGTCGGTTAACCCCCCGGACGTCCTATGATTTGATGAAAGCTCCGTTGGAGCGTCTAATATCAAATAGAGGAATTGGTGATATTTTTACTCAGATTTGATGAAATATTTGGTGAACCATTGGAGATACTCTTACTAAGCAATGATAGTTTTAAATTTAACTTTTTAATTTTATTTTATTTTTAGATTTGCAATATGTTTCCTTTTATTATTTACTAATACAGCAGAGAAAAAAAGTGAAGACAAAACTATTATATATCATGAGAATAATTTACACATATTTAAAAACACGTGTTACGCATGTTTGCAAAATACTTCAAAATTATAAACAAAAGTTTGAACATATTGTACATGAATATCGAATCCATTCACAACATAAATTAAAAATTAAACACAAAAAATGAAAAAAAAAATGGTTGAAAAAATGACTTTTTTTTTTTGTGTGCGCGTGTGTGTGAATGATCTATATGAAGGGCCTACTAAAGGAAAAATTTGAATCATTAAAACAGAACTTGTAGACATAGTGAGTCCCACAGACCCGAATAATACCCTCTGGTCTTGACTTTTTTTTAAAAAATCACAAGAAGATTGTGGCATAAAAATTACAACAAAGAATTTTCACTCATTTGTCATGAATGAAAAATGAGAAGTTATTCCATATTCCTAAATATTACTTAATGCATTTACAATTATATGGAGAATATGTAAAGAATTAATCCTACTGTTTGGTTGTATTTTAATTTTTTATTCTTGAAAAAAAAAATCAATTTGGCAAATTATTTCCTGAAATTGTTTTTGGATTTTTTTTTTAAAACAACCAAACATTAAACATTTTTTTTGATTTTCTAAAAAAGAAGATTAAAACATAACCAAACACACGTACACAGTGTGATTAATATTTGGGGGCGCACAATAAAATACAAGACTTATAATAAATAAAACAAAAATTCCACAATAATGTGATTGGTCAATTATGAATAATTTTCTTAATAAATATTATGTGCAACAGTGACACATTGTTATTGATATTATTTTTAGGTGACTAAAGTGATCCCCACCATTCAATTAAGATATTCTTAAGAGAATTTACAGTCAAGTGGGTCTATCACCAAAAAAAAAACAAAAAGGGATTGAAAAAAAAAAAAAAAAAAAAAATTCAAATGAAAAAATTTATAATGTTAATTACTAATATTTATAAAGTTTATCATTGATCTATAATTAATTTTTTAGAATTACACAATAGCTTGTATTTTTCCATGTTGTTGTTAGTCAATGCCATCATATAACAAAGTATATGATGTCACTACACTCATGTCTACTTAGACCATCTCCAACCCTGAACTAAACCTGTTATCAAATTTAAAATTTGGTGAAAAAATCACTTTTTCATGCTCTAACAGTTTCACCAAACCGGTATCAAATTCAGAATTCATCAAAGAAATCATCAAAGTGAGGACAGACTCCGCATTTCACCAAAACACTGTACATGACTGTTGGGGAAGACGAACCGGTCCGGCCGGTTGACCAACTGGTTGACCATAAAAGGGTTCAAACAGTTCCAAAAAAAAGTTCAAACAGTTAAAAAAAAAAAAAAATTTCCCTTACCGGTCGACCGGCCGGTTGACCAACTGGTCAACCACCACAGGATTCAAACAGTTGAAAAAAATTGGTTCAAACAGTTCAAAAAAAAAAAAATTCCTCTTACCGGTCGATCGGCCGGTCAAATTTGATAAAAAGTAAAGGGTTGGAGCCAGTGGTATCAAATTGAGGAAAACATTATTTTTTTCATGAGATTTGATGACAAAAGAAGTTCAGGATTTGGAGATACTCTTAAACCTCGTAAAGGTAATTAACTTAGTGATAATGAAATATTGTTACAACTTAGTGATATTGTGAATGTCACAAACCTAGTTTGTATGTAGGAAATTTTAAATTGAGACCTACAAATTTTAATATTGGGTGTCTATTGCAAAAACTCCATTCTTAATTTCAAATTTCGAACTAAAAGTTTTAAATTGAGGACAACCTCAATTCAATCAATTGAAAATACGTTAGAATAGATAATTTTTTATGTGCGAATGGAGCAATTTCTCTGTTTGAAACATATAAATTTTAATTGAAGGCCAAAAATTACAAAATAAGGTTAGAAACTAAAACAACCACTAAATTTAACAAAGAGAGAGTGAGAAGAAGAAAGTCTATTATAATATGTTGAGAGAGATATAAATAAATTTAAAAAATATTTGTGCACGATTTTAAAAATAAGTGTTTTGCAAACGATGGTGAGTAGTAAATGAAATCTATCCGCACACATGACATACCATTTAATGGAAGCACGGAGTTAAAAATAAAATTAGTCACTTAAAGTTTTAAATGATGTATTAGTGAGTGCTTTTAAAGGTATTGATTAACAAATTTTAAAATGAGTGTATACTTTTTGCAGCATTAAACTTTTGCAGAGAATGTATAGCTATTTTAAACTAATTAACAATTGCATTTAGAGTACTCATTTGGTTCACACAAAATCATTTTAAAAATATATCAACCTCGCCTTGAAGTCTCATTTACATAAATTAGCTCTAATAGAAACTTATAATAAGGTACATAAATTAGCTCTAATAGAAACTTATAATAAGGAAAGTATCATAAATTTTCCTTCCTTCAAAACTGAACGGATAACTAAAATAAAAAGTAATTTACAAATTATTTATTTATTACTTTTTTTTGAATTGTATTGATAATAATTCAAAAAAGTAAGAAAAAAGTATTATATTGGAAAATATTTATAGAAAAACGGCAAGGCAAATAATTTCAAAAATATGATGAATCACTTTTAGGTATGGTAGGGGTGGAAAGTTGAATTTATTATTATTATTTTTTCACAAAATCGTTTTTTTTCTTCTTTCTTTCTTTTTTTTCTTTTTTCTTTTTTCTTTTTAAACACATTTTTTATCCTCAAATTTATCTCTTTTTCCTTCTTTTTTTCCCCCTTATATTTTCCTTTGCAACCACCTACCACCGGACCACCGTTACTCCTCCTTAACCACCATAGCCTTTTTCATTGCCGTCATCATCGCCACCACCTCCATTATCCCTCATCACCCTAACCCTGTCTTACTACCTGATGACACCTTTCAATCCTTTTTTTCATCTATTATAATCTCATTTCTCATTTCCTACTATAACTCCACTTTCTAACTCACCATCACTACCTCTTTTCCTTTTCAAAACCTTAATTTTGATAGTGCCATAATATTATGGATCTCTCCATATTCTCTTATTTACTTTTTGATTGTTGATTTTGTGATGATGGTTGGATGCTACAAGGGGGTGGTTAAGGTGGCGATAGAAGATGAAGAACGTAGATGAGGGAATTAGTAAAAGAGAATGAACGTGTTATTGTGGTGGCAAGAAAGAATGGATTAAGGTGTAAAAAAAAGTTGAGGGTGGTGGCAATGTTGGGAAAGAGCAAAAAAGAGTGAGAGAGGGTAGTCGATAAGGAAGAGAAACGGAAAAAAGAGAAGAGACGAGAAATAGAAACAAAATAATTTTTTTTACTCAATAAGATAAAATGTCACGTTCAAATTATAATTATTTCATTTTTTTCTCATAAAAATGAAAAAATCAAAAAAATTCATCTTAAATGAAATTTTTTAATCTCAAATTAAAAAAATTAAAAAATCAATTCATATTTTAAGTGAATTCTAAAAGGAGGGCATACTTGTAATTATAATAGTAAATTATTTGTCCTAAAAAAATTTTCCCCCAATTTTTCATACAAATAATCATTATTCTAAAATATTTATTGAAAAGGCAATTGTGAGGTGATTAGGGAGAAAGCTAGATAGAGAGAGAGAGAGAGAGAGAGAGAGGAGGAGAATAAAGCTAGCAAATAGTAGAGTTCTCTGCATTTTCTACGACCCAATAATCAAAACGAAGTGTTGTTCTCGTGAGCAGCCTTCGCCGCCCCTTGAGACAGAGAGAGAGAGAGTGGTCGCCGGAGGAATAATGACTGCCGGCGGATCATCAGGGCGTTTACCGACCTGGAAGGAGAGAGAGAACAACAAGAGGAGAGAGAGGAGGAGAAGAGCTATTGCTGCCAAGATATTTACAGGTCTCAGAGCTCAGGGAAACTACAAGCTTCCCAAACACTGCGACAACAACGAAGTCTTGAAAGCTCTCTGTTCCGAAGCTGGTTGGGTCGTCGAAGACGATGGCACCACTTATCGCAAGGTTTGCTGCCAATCTAACTTCCAATTCATACTGGGTTTTCAAATCTGTGTTTTGGGTCTATTTTTGTTTTATTTGATTCCACGTATATTCATATATAGATCATAGTATTTTGATAGATCTATTCAGATTTTGTTTGTTTGATGGTGGTAGTGGAAATGGGTTATATTGATCTTGGTCTTTTTCTGTGTTACGTAATTTTCCTGAGTCTTCATCTTGAAATTTTTATTTTTTTGTGAATTGATTCTCACTTTCTAAGTTGATTTCTGATGAGAAAACCTCAATCAGATCTCTTTGGGTATTTTTCTTAGTCAGAGACTCAGATTTATCTTCTTTTGTGGTTGGTTGACTGGATCGGACTACTGATTCTTACTGTTTGATTCGAATCCTGCTGGGTTTTTGATTTGGGAACTCACTGGTGAATCAAAACATCAAAATGGGATCTTTGAGGGTATTACAACCAAATTATTCAGTTCCCCAAATCAAAGATCCAAACACAGCTTATCTTTGAGGGTTATGATGGCTCTACTTTGTCTTTGATTTTTCATTTGTGATCTGGAACAAACTTTTCTTCTTGTTTCATCAGTGAGAGACAATCTTTTTTCATGTCAAAGCCGGTGAGGGAATCTTCAGTGTGCTCACTTCTGTTGGTTTTTAAGTAGATTTCATTTTTCTCCTGATTCATGTTTTAGTTTACAATCCCTTTTTCATGTACATATTGATGAAAATTTGATATACAGAACCCCATTTTCATTGAAATCTTGACTGACAAGAAGGAAAAAAACTGTGGTTTTATTCGACAACGACTAACTTCTGTTATGAAATCTCACACAGGGTTGCAGACCTCCCCCAAATCAAACTGAGATTGCAGGCAATACAACAAACATAAGTAACATCAGTGCATGTTCATCGATCCAACCGAGCCCAAATTCCTCATCCTTTCCAAGTCCTGTACCGTCTTACCACGCCAGCCCAACATCCTCTTCCTTCCCAAGCCCCACACGTTTTGACGGAAACCCCTCATCTTACATTCTGCCTTTCCTCCGAAACTTAGCCTCCATTCCTTCGTCTCTCCCTCCCCTCCGCATATCCAGCAGTGCCCCTGTAACTCCGCCTCTTTCTTCCCCAACTTCCCGAGGTTCAAAGCGAAAGGCCGATTGGGAATCATTTTCCAATGGCTCATTGAACACATTCCGTCACCCCCTTTTCGCTGCCTCTGCCCCAGCAAGTCCCACTCGCCGCCACCATCTTACACCGGCCACAATTCCAGAATGTGATGAGTCCGATGCCTCCAGTGTTGATTCGGGTCAGTGGGTCAGTTTCCAGACAGGGGCAGCTCCGGCTGCTCCATCGTCCCCAACATTTAACCTTGTAAAAGCTGTTGCTCAGCAGAGCTCCCTCCAAAATGGAACTGATGGGCATGAAGAATTGGGCTGGGGAGTAGCAGCACAAAGAGGGCGTGGCTCTGAATTTGAGTTTGAGAGTGGCACAGTGAAAGCGTGGGAGGGTGAGATAATTCATGATATTGGAGTGGACGATTTGGAGCTCACGCTTGGGAGTGGAAAAGCCCACACTTAAGCTTCCTGTGTGACTTAATGGTCATGGAATGTAATAAGAGGTGGAAAGAGCTTTCCATGTATGCGATCAAATGAGCAAACTTCATTTCTGGTTTGTCAATGGTCACTCCTTTTCTATGAGCCAATTTGTGTGGCATAGCTCTCAAACTTGCCTGTAATTTCTGCCACATTCTGGGAGACTTTGATTTCCAGTGAGGTCTCTTCTGTCAGCTGCACACTTTCTTCTCATGGCACTGTTACAGGAATCTAAACCTCTGAAATTTAGTTGGTCAAAAGCAGATTTTCAGGTTGGCTTTGTCGTGGGACTGCATTTCTCAACCGTCACGGGCTAGGAAAGACTGAAGTAAGTGAATGGGTGGTTATTTTCCCTCTTCCCCTTGTTTATGTTTGTAACTTTTTTCCTTTGAATATGTCAACAACCATCTGAACCTATTTAATTGTCATCAAACTCAGAAATAGGGATTGTGTGCTATTTCTTTGATTTGGTAATTTGTAGACAATGTGAAGAAACATAAACTCGAAACCATTTAAGTTTATTTGTGTTGTCTGTTGTGTTTGCAAGAAAACCCTTCTTGCTTTGCATTCGTTCATTTTGTTTGTTATACCATACTGGCAAGTGGTGATATGCGTTTTCTTTATGTGGAACTATTAATTAGACCCAAACTTCATCACTGGGAGGTGAGTACTATCCACCTGATAGTTTCATTGATTGTTGTGTATGTTCAAATAAATTTTGCAACAACTCTCAAAGTCAATCAACTGGATGCTTAACTTTTGCAGTAAGTACAGGGACGCTGCCCTCACTCCATTACACACAATCTATTTGTTTGGATGGAAAATATTTTTTTACAGAATTTTTTTTTCTTTTGAATAATGTTTTCTTATGTTTGGTTGCATTCTTAAAACTAATATACTAAGATTGTATTTGGATTATGGATTTGGATAAGAATTTGAAAAGAGAAAAGGAAAAAGAAAAAGGTGGGTAAAATGTAATTGTATTTCATTCTCATTTTACTTATCTTTTTGTTTTCTCTTGTCAAATTGTTATTTAAATTCATGATCCAAACATAGCCTAATAATTGGATTAGTGTATTGGGGTGGTGGTGGGTGGGGTGGAGGTCATGATGGCAAAGGGGGGGGGGTGTGTGTTGTGGTGGTATTGGTAGTAATTTTCCTCTAGTAAATGTTTTTCATTTTTTACAAGTATTTGTTGATTACGGAAAATATTTTTTTTTGTTGACTTTCGTTGTCTGTTATACCAAAATAATATCCAAATAAACAGAACGTCTGCATTTGCATTTTTGTGTAATTTTTTTGGCAAATTTGTTTTATGAAGGTTGTAGCATTATTGTAACAACTTTGGATAATTGAAGTTGATTTTTGTAAATTAAAATCTGTCCAAGAGTGGGTGGTTCTTGGATTGAAAGATCCAAATAGAAACTGGTGTAAAGAAACGTAGGAAAAAGTGAATGGGAATTGAAATGAATGCGAAAGGGACTTTTCTTTCAAGTGAGAAGGGGAAGGGGGGGGAGGGGGAGGGAGAATCCCATTTCTTGGTGTCTGGAGGGGGTGATAACTGTTTTTTGTTATCCAAATGTCACTTACTCACTCTGCTTTTATTATAAAAATTGGTTTTTGCATCTATTTTTGCGGGTCAAAGAGGGCATCTTTCAACAAACAAAACCTCCACGAAGGGTCCCTTCCCATGTGATGTGTCTTTCTTTTTAATTTATTTTAAATTTTTAATGGGGGTGGGAGGGGCATCTGAGTTCTCACGCTTGATGTTGTTGTTAAATGTACCAACCATTTCCAATAATTTCACTCTTGTTTTTTTGGATGGTTGAGGAGATTTGATTGCTCTAGGTCCCGCTTTATCATTGGCCCCCTACTATTTCAATAATTTTATTTCACAATCTTTTCCAATGAGTGTTTTTTTTTTAGCCAATTTGCCCTCATTTTATTTATTTTTTTAAAAAAATTTATTAACTTATTATTGCTTTTAGTGGTTTTTATTTTTATTTTATTAACTTATAGCTTAGAGATGTTTATGGCCTGGCTTAAATGCATTTATTGAGCTACTTCTGACTATATAAAAGTGTTAAAAGTACAACTTTTTTATGAAGCAAAAAAGGAAAAAACTTAATTACTTAAAAGTTAATGAAAATATACTTTCAAATTTTACTTTATTGATTTTCAGTTTTTAACTTAAAAAAATTGCACAAAATATCTATGTATCCCAGATTGAGATTATCAATTAGAGAAATTTCTGAGAGAACAATACTGGATAAAAGAGGCTCATAATCACATTGTAAGATTGAAGAGCAAAGAACCCTACACTTCCTATATGTTTCTTCAATATAAAATATAGGAAAATATTATCCATAAACTATTTTTTATGAGATTTTTTTTTTTATCATTAAACACAAATAACGAATCTCGCATATGTTTATTAATGTGGAGTCCCACTAAATCTGGGTTCTAAAAATGCATTTCAATCATCCAATGTATGAATTAACTGCATAAATAAGATGTGAAAAGAAAGATAGTTGTGCTAGAGGTCTTGAAATTTCGTGGCTTGAATGCCATGAATCATGGAGTTCTTGTTTTTTTTTGCTGTGTGAGTTTGTTTTGTTTTTATTTTTTAAAGGATGGTTATGCATAGGAGTGCGTTAAAAAACTAGACATCTCTCACTAACTCAACCTGTTTGGTTTGATAAGGTGAGTGAGTTGGATTGGACTGATTTCGTGATAAAATTGACTGATCAGTTAGACTGCTGGCTAAAATTTGTTAATTCTATACAGTTTTGTACGAGCCTTTACTATATTTTTATTTCAAATTAGGAAGACTCAGAGAAAATTGAAATGACTTTGATTTAAATTTCCTCCAAATCTTCTTGATTTGAAATAAAAATATAATATAGACTCGTACAAAACTATATAGAATTAATAAATTTTAACTAGGAACCTAACTGATCAGTCAATTTTATCACCCAATCAGTGTAACCCCACTCACCTTATCAAACTACATAAGCTGAGTTGATATAGGATGTCTAATTTTTTAACACACCCCTACACATAACCACACTTGCAAAGAAAAAAAAAATCAAACCAACACAGCCGCCCCCCCAAAAAAAAAAAATACAATGCCTCAAAATTTCGAGGCTTCAATCATTTTTCAAAGAAAAAAGGCAAAAGAAGAAAACCAAAAAAGAAACAGGCATATCAGAAGTACGACATTATGAACAGTCCAAAGATGCCCAAGCTAACTTATTTTCCATTAAATACAGATAATGGGGGGCTAAATAACTAAATACGAAGGTAATTAACCCTCTAAAGCATTACGTGTTTTTTGGGAGCTGTTGAAGGAGGATGGAGAAGAAAGAGTGGTGCATTCGTGGCTTTGGGTTCTTTCAACTCTCCCAAGAGCAGAGAGAGGAACCGCTCAAGCACTTATAGGTTCGGTAGCTTTCTTCAGCCATGTCATTTCAGTATCATCCAAATATGAGGCAAGGACTTCCCTACATTTTGAATGATAGGTGTTCACCCAGTTTATTTCTGCAGGTGTTAAAAGGCTTGTGTCGATCAACTTTTTCTGGTACGGCGCCTGGACATAGACGAAGAATCAAATATCAAAAGAAAGATTAGCAATTGTGTAATGTCACTATGCAGATAATTGTTAAAGTATTTCATCGGCCTCAGAGAACCTCCCATTCCCTATGAGAAGTGGAAGAAAAAAAGAGCATGGTTTCTGATAAATATTGCAGAACTGGTCTGCTCTTTACGGTTCTGATGAAAGCACAAAAAAATGAAACAAAATTGAACAATTAGGGTTGAAAAAATGAAACTTACCCACGTTATGTGCTCAAATGACAAGTAACCCTTGTCACCAAAATTGAACTTTGTACCAGCATCCTTGACGATCAGCACGTTCTCCAATCTTATACCAAAGTTCCCATCCTCATAATAACCAGGTTCTGATAATGCAATTCCAATTAAATTTTTAATAGCAGAAGGGAGAAAACAAAATCCGAGTTTGACAATGGCACCACATTTATATTTTTAAAAACCAAATATATATATATATATAAAAAATAAAATAAAATTGGAGAAAAAAAAAGTCTATGAAAATCACAAATGCAAGTGCAGAACTTCATCTAGAATCAACTACCACAATGATACTAGCAAGTACTCCTCCAATTAGACACATGATAATCTCCTTTGAAAAATTAATAGACTTCAAGAAAATCAAATGGCTAAATTCAAAGTAAATTTTTTGGAATTGTTCAGCTATGTATTCACTTGCTTGCATGAACTTTTAGCAGAATAATTTTCAGAGAAAGCATGATTTAACAAATTAGAGAGTAAAAAGCTTGAAGAGTGAGGAATGGTGCATGCATAGAAATGCAACAACTAAAAGCCCAATTATTTGATACATGATGTAACAAGATAACTGTGCGAATGCAACGAAGTATATAAATTCCTTCTAGAACCATAATCCAAGGCAATGAACTAAACTCACCATCTGTCACGGTCATTGAAGCTTGTAATGGTACATTCCTAGCATGCGGTCTGAAACTAATTAAATGAGGTCCTGTCCAGTATATATAAAAGCAAGAAAATATGACAAATTAGTTCACAAAAAATTTAGACTTAAGAAAACAGGGTACAAACTTATTTCTTCATTGCTTACCCTCATGGACATTTAAGTAAGACCCAACACCATGACCAGTACCATGTCGATAATCAAGCCCATCATTCCACAAAGGAATTCGAGCAAGAATGTCAAGAGCATGCCCTATAAAGAGCAAATTTTCAATTAGCATATGTTTGAAAAAACTAGATTTGTATGGAAAGAAAATAGGTGAAACATGCGCACTTAATGGCCCACTCCATTAAATGGTCCTCAACTTCTCTGAAACTAAAACAGTTCAATGAATGTTAATGGTACAAACACAACGAGAAAGTTTGTAATACCGTTGGTTCCATTTGGAAAGCAAGCATTACCCAATGCAATGTGACCCTTGAGGACCTGAATAAAATCCAGAAAATCAAGTCTACTTCTCAAGACCCCAGACAAAATTTGCCGGAAGGAAAAAGGAGAGAATTCTAAATTATAGTTTTGAAAGCTGATTAGAGGCCAGACATTTTCTTCCCTTTAGAGGTAAAAGGCATATTTGTAGAACTATAGAAGTCTAAAAAGTAAAAAATATGAGAGTAACTGGAATAAAAATGAGATGCCACAGCAATTGATCCTTCATTGTCTCCTGTTAGATATGCAAGGACTCAAAAAATTTGAATAGCAATTGATCCTTCATTTTCTATTTAAAGAAATTAGAAATATGAGATGTCACAGCATGAAGAATTTCAATGTTACTGTTCAATTTATCATTCAAATACATCTTTTCAGTTAGCTCTGCTTGTATTCAGATTAATGGATTTGTAATAAGCAATTTTGGTTGTTTAAAAAGGATAGACTTGGCTTTGAGTAACAACCCTGTATTTGTGCATGAAATAAACAAACAAGGAAGGATTCTAGTTGGGTATCTCTATCCTCACTTCTCCCTCAATAATCTAATCCCAATTTCCTGTCCTCCTATTGATTCTTATACCTGAACCCCAAATCCTCTCCTTCCAAATCTGTCAATCCGACACAAACGAAGTTTCAGTTCATGATAGCACTTCCAAGCATTTACAAATTCTACTGCAGCTTTCATGTCATTCCGAAGTATTTCTAGGCTAATTCAAACATCATCATTGCAAATAATTTAAAATCTTGGTTCCCACTTTATAAACACCTTGTCAACCAGGGACATGATTTCCTAGACTACTATTAGAAGCTCTAAATGAGTCAAAGTAAGAAGAACTAAGACAACCATATTCTTGGAATGGGTGTAATCAATGTTAGCTTGGATTTAAATTACCAAAAAAACATAAAAGCGCTAAGTTAAAAATTAACAAATACCACATACCGCAGTATAACAAGCTTTCTCATGTGCCGAAGGTTTTCCAAAATGAACTGTCCGTGTTATATCAGTTGTTCCATCTAGATACTTCAAGAGACCAACACCCACAAAGTAAAAGATATCAAGACATTAGAACAGTGAAAGTAGGGTAGAATATAGTATATGACATTTTATTGATTATTGACTTATTTTTGCAAATGGCTATATGCGTAGAACCCAAACTATTTAAGATAGCTGACAAACCTGTGCTCCTGAATCACATAGATAGATACTATCCGCATCCAGTTCTGAACATTTTTCTGCATCTGGTGCATAATGGATAATTGCCGCATTGGGACCAGTAGATGAAATAGTAGGAAAACTCAACCCTCTAAAATGCTGCAGAAATATAAAATGTAATAAGACTATAACAACGTGAAACAAAATGTGGCTTTAAGGTAGGATAACACCAATAACATCTATGGCAACATTTGAAACAAAAATAAGATCAAATTTACCACATACAATTAATAATTACATTTAAACACACCCACACACACACACCAACTTATTTATTTACAAAGTCCATTAGTTGTCAAACATGCAACAACAAAGGAAAACATACGTCAGACACGATTTTGTCCTCGAAGCTACAATGGGGTGTTTGGAATCGAATCTTAGTGGTTTCATTATCCCCAAGTTAACAAGGGAAATTTTTTTCCAAATTTTAAATTCTTTCTATATATGTAAGAGGCGTAAACAAGAGTCTGAACTGTGCTTTTTCATCAACGTGTTTCAGTGGCACTTCTTCTTTCTACTCATTTTGATAATTTCAACATCAAGCATCCAAAATTCTCTGGTGACAGGAAACTTAATTTTTGTGAAGTCACGCCTGGCCAAATTGCTTAAAATTACATATAAACATAAACTTTTCTTGAGGCTTTCTCCTACCTAAGCACTTCCTTGAATATCCTTATCCCACTTAGCTGGTCACTTCCCATTCTAAAAACTCATTCTAATTCTAGCAAATACAAAATCAATTTACCACTCATACAATTCTGCTCCTCCATACTGATAAATTAAGCCCAATGAAGAAAGGGATACATGCATAAAACAAACTACAACATTAAAGCATGAGAAAGACAACTACCAACACTTGCACATTCCATTATCAAAAGAAAATCAAATAGCTGAACACTTAGAACTACTAAACCAAGAATCTCTGACACCACTTGATTCATCTTAAATGATACACTATCTGATTTTAAATTATTCATAATTGTCAATTTATAAGAAGAAGACATTACCTCTTTTGATGCACGGAAGCCCTCTAGTTTATCACTTGCAGACAATTCTGTCAGCTTCATCGTTTCCCTGCCATAATATTTTTTAATAACCAACATGTTGGCTTAAAGTGAGTTGCAGGTGCAGGATAACTTTGGTGCAGGCTACAGAATAAAATGAGCCAGATAAACCATGATTTCCAAGAAAAATCAATTGCTGAGTTACATACAGATAGAGAGCAATGTGATTGTGGGGCACCTAAGTAGCATGGGCACTTCTAGGGAGGAGCCATGTTTGTGTCACACACTCCTAGAAACGTTTCTTAAGTTTGAAGTGAAATTTCATAATTTCGGACACTTAAACAACTTTTCATGAACACTTCCATGACACTTTTCGAACCCTCCTGGATACAACCAAATGGTTAATCTCTTAATAGTACCCATGTTAGGCATTCTTCGGGCTACAACTTATGCACCCCAAAATTATCTTCAAATATCTCAGAAAAGAATAAATCGTGTGCATGACCCACATAAAGTATGCAATTGACAACTTCTAACACACAAAAATAAATATATAGAAATAAAGCTAACAATTAATAAGTAAATGTAACAAGAAAGCAAACCACAGGAGTATGCATTATATACATCATATTTGTGGAGTTTTATCTTCCAATTTTAAAATTTTAAATAGAAATATATAAATAATAAATCAGATTACATGATTTTCTTATACAATATGCATAAAGGACAGATAAATGTATTAATATGTTTTGTATCCTTGCTGTGTAGTGCCCATACTTTTTTTAAAGATTTGTTGCGTCGGCATTTCTGTATATGTTCTGTGGGTGTCCTACATCCATATCCATTATACATAGTGGGGCACCAAAAGAAATTCACTGAACTAATATTATATGATGCAAAGACTAATGCAATAATACTCAAATTTAGAAGCCGTCTACATCATTTCCCACTAAGGTAACACCATGTCTGTGGTTCCCAGACAAAACAAAGGTTAAGCATTGGATTACCATGTCGAACTGTCCCTATATGGCCTTCTATAAATTTAAGTATATGATCAACTACTTCTCAATTAAATGTGTAAACAAGAAATGCTTGAATCATAATGAATCTTTTGTATACATTATTCAAAGAATATAGATTACATGATCTCTTTCACAGAAACAAGTTGCATCATGCATAAACGAGATGCTGCGTAAGGGAACAAAAGCAATTACTATGAGCTACAATCAGCAAGTAAACTAGCCAAAAACACCAAAATTAGCAAGATATAACTTACAGACGTTTTTTCTTGTTCATACTCTCTGCCTCAATGAAGTAACCAGAAGCCCCATAAATTTCTTGCATCTGCCAATTTGTAAGTAGTTAGAGATCAGGATTTCACCAAATATTAATACAACAAAGTCTAAGGCTCTAAGCAAGTTTTTCATGTATAAAAGATATTTCATATAAGATGTGTATTTACAAGGCCAGCACAGCGAAGGGGTTTCTGAGATAAAAATATCAAGTTTGCCAGTTTATGGATCAGGATGAAGAAATACAAAAGTAAAAGGTACCAGTTCTAATTTCAACAAAAATTTCAACTTCGATTTTCATTTTTTTAAAGAATCAATATTAAGTGATAAAATCTAAAACATAGCAAGGCATTCTTTTTGTAAGTATCATTCAAACATCGAGAGAGAATCTTCATTCTCAGCATATCGGTATAAGATTTTAGCTACCACTGCTGCAATCCTTAGTTTATTAGATTATCCATGACATCTTTAAAGCACAAGCCTTAAAGATATAAGGTGCAGTAATCTTTATAAAGAAAGAGGCACACACAAGAATATTCTATGAAGGCCAAAAAACAGTTGAGGTAGCACACACTTGGTTAACAATTGCAAACATGCACCTGACTGACATGACTCATCTAACTTTGGACTGAGTCAAATATGATGGCATATTATCTACAAACAGGACTATATTTTTTTTTCTAAAAAAGAAAGACAAAAAAAGGGAAACCTTCGACAACAGAAAGGTACATTTTTCAATAGACATAAATCAAAACTCAACAGACTGACAATTACCTGCTTATCCAACCAGACAAGATATTGCACAACAGCTGCACCATCCCTAATGTGTGCTTTTTTTAACCCATCCAACTCAACAGGGTTCTGGACATGTAAAACAGTGGGTCAAAAACGTAAAAATTTATTTGGCAGAACAATTAAGACATCAATGCTAAAATGCTTGTGATATATGACAATTGTCTTGATAAAAAAATAACGTTGCTTGGATTTGTGGCACATTCCAAGCACATGAAATGATTGTATATCTTTAATTTTTAAATAATCCATCTACTGATTTTGGTACTTTTGTCCAATTAGACTTTGACTTAATCCCAAGGTTGTTAAAATCGGGATCCTACGTTGGATCGTTGGAGGTATTTATAGGATCGGATCGTAGAATCGGATCGATGATCGTAAGATCCTACCGAAAAAGACAAATTACATAATAATTTAATTTAAATAAATATTTCTTATAAAGTATACACAAAATGAACCTATATTATATTAAAAAGAAGTAAACATATTGTGAAAAATATAATATTCCATGTAAAATGTACATATAATATTATGCAATAGAAAACTCGATGGTAAAAGTTCTGTATTTTAGCAAAAAAGAAGGTGAAGAAGAAGAAGAATTCTATAACAAAATACTTTACAATGTACAATAATGCATAAAAAGTGAAGAAAAAATATTTAACAAAATTGGATATGAAAATAGATTAAGAACTCAAAAGAGTAGCTTAGTCGAATGATAAGATTTGTCGTTTGCACCCCTGGTGGAGCGGATTCGAGTTACAAAAATAATTTCTCCAGAAATTGGGATAAAGTTGCAATCATCTTACCCTTTTTAGACTCCGCTAAAGCTAAGTTTGTTTTTCCGACTATTTAATTTTCTTAAATTACCGCAATATTTGAATGTTTGTTTCTTAGTTTGTTTTTCTTAGTCTATTTGATTCAATACTACTTAATTTTTATTATTTATTTTGACAGCATAAATTAGTATTTAGACAACAAACATAAAATTTACAACAAAATATGTCATACAATACAAAACAAGGCTTGTAAATAGGATCGGATAGGATTGGATTCGGATCGGGATTCCACGATCCTATAAGATCCCACTACTAGGATCGAAAGATCCTACCTATAAGGAGTTTTTTATACGATCCGGATCGATTGTACTCAAATGGATCGTAAGATCGTAGGATCGTAAGATCCAGATCGGGATTCTGATAACCATGCTTAATCCAAGAATTCCACATTATGCTCTCAATTAAAATAGATATTACACAAAAAAAATATGCATAGACATATATAGTGATTACAAGCCTCTAATTCTGAAAGTATAAATGTATAAACTCAAGTTCTAGTGATTCTGGTGAAACATTAATTCAAGAATCCGACTTTATTCTTTAGGGTGTTGGGGATTTCTTTCCAAAGTAAAACTTGAAGGCCTGGCCCATCATCTACATGCTAACCATGCTAAAAAGACACATAATTTGTTCTCTACACATAGTTTGCACTAGTGAGATGGTATCTCAAAAGAAACTAACATTGAAAAGTAGATTTTATGGTATATTGCAAACATGACTAGCTCAAAAACCGCATAAATACAGTATGGAGCCAATCGTATGAATATTTTGGTTCATTATGCATTAAGAGAAAAATTAAATATTAAAACACTAGTAGATCATTGCACCAAAAGTAACAAAAAATTCAGCAAATCCATGAAAAGAAAATAAATAAATAAACAACAACAAAGATTGTGGTAATACTTTGAGATAATGTCACTACACCCTGATTGACAGATACCCAAAAATGGCAGATCCGGGATATTTAATCAGTCACTGACTCTAACAAATACATCACAATAATTAATCGTACTTGGACCATGTTTGCTAATAATTTTAGCAAGGAACTATTAAACCAGAATTTTTTTGCAAGAATGTGGTTTTATGTCCTACCTTGATAGCTTTTGCAAGGGCCAAAGGTGACGGCTTTAGGAGAACCTGATCAGAATTCAATTTTGTATACAAAGCAAAACAGCATGAGCCAGGGTCAACCCAGATAAGGTTATGAATTTTCTCTTCTGCTTCACTTGTACCATTTCCAGTTTCCATGTCCTTTGGGACATTAGATAGAGTTTCATTAGCTGAAGGGGAAGGAGTGAGCTGATTCAATGCAAGCAAGACCACATCCAAGCTCACTACACCATAGTCCCGAACTTCAATTCCATTTTGCTCCAAATAAGAGTTTACCTGCATGCACTTTGCATTTGTTAGACAAAGTCTCAAGGCCAAATACAAACCTCAGATGACATTCTCAGATTACATTATTAAAGATGAAAATATGCAAAATTGAAAAGGAAGATGTAAAACTGACCTCGGAAGACAACTTTCTTTTGTCTACATAAAAGAAAGCTGAGAAAGATGTTACTATAGCAAATGCATGAACAACTGGGCAATAGGAAACATCATTCCCACGGACATTATACAACCAAGCAACCTGCATAGAAGCAGTTGAATGAAAAATCTTCAGGCATTAAACAATCAAGTAACAAACATGAAAAGAAATCCAAGACAGATCAACTTACCTCATCAAGTGTTGTGATAATAATAGCACGAGCTCCCTCCTGCTTGAGCATTTCCCTCAGATTCTTCAACTTGTCTGCAACAGAACAACCAGCAAATTCCAAAGGTTGGACATTTACAGGATTAATTTGAACTGGTGGCCGGTCTTTCCAAACTTCATCAACCAAGTTTGTGGATGTTTGAACCAACTTTTGTTGCTTTTTGGCAAAAGCATGCTCCCATTTCTGTGCAGTGTCAACTGCTACACACCAAGGATCGATACCAATAGCAGCATCTTTCGGCAGATTCTAACAAAGCATATCATATGTTCCATGTTAGATGTTCATTGATATGAAGAACAAATTAATCCAAGAAACACAACAAGAGTACATTGTTAATTGGAACGTCTTCAGGACAATGCTTATTAGGAGCAACGCTACAGCATAAGCAATATGAGCTTTCTCATTCCAACAGTTGCATCATTCAGGGTGAGGAACAACAACTTTAAAGAGTTGACTCTTTATATCTCAGAGTAAGTCAAAGCAACCAAAAAGGGCATGTGCATAAACAGGGTGAACATTAACTGCAGTATATCACCCGGGATGCATAGAAAGGTCTTAATTAGCATAAATAGAAAATGGAATGAGCAGGTGATCTTTTGGCTGAGCATTTCAATTGGAGAAAGAAAAGTGCATCCTCAATAACTAATCATTACACCATCTGATAGCATGTAGAATTAGCAAAACATATATATCTCTTCAAGCAAATATTTGCTAAATATAGGCTTTAAAAAGAAGTTTGACTCCAGTGGAAGTTTCACTTTCGAGTATTGGAAATTATGGACTTACATATATTTTTCATTATGTAAGGGAAAATTTTCCTTTATAAATGAGAATGAAGAACATTGAAAAAAGGATCCCAAGCTAGCAACTGCCATTAACCAAAAGCAACAAATTCCTTTATTTATGCTGTGTTTGGTTGGGGGATTTAATGAGGGATTTGGAAAGAAAAGGAGAAAAGATGTGTAAAATTAGGTGAAATATAGACACGTTTTATTCACATTTCACCTACTTTTTCTTCACATTTCACCTACTTTTTCTATTTCTCTTTCCAAATCCCTCAACCAAACACAGCATTAAGATTGGCGTTCTAGAAATAAAAAATACAAAAGGGACTGAGAAATACATCATCTGAAAATTAAAGCCACACATATTAAGTCAATTATGCTTTTGAATGCAAAATCACTAAACATATTATACTTCAAATGAATTAAGAAGGGAAAAAAAAAGAAAAGAAAAGAGAACTACACAACATGGTGATAGAATTTGTAAAGCGCAGAATTATCAGTAAACTACAACCTCAACTGATGTACGCAGGTAAGATGCAGGTAAGATGAAGACGATAATGTGAATGATTGCAAATGAAAATAAAAATGAAGTGCACAAAAAGGCTCGAAGGTAACATGATCAAACATGGCACAAACAATTGACCTGGTTTCAACATGCATTATAACTATGAGCACGGGTATGGGTACGATGCGAGTAAGTTGATATAAAAAAAAAGAAAAAGAAAAAAAAGTAAGGCACAAGTCCAGCTGGGTATTTTTGTAAAAAAATATTTATTTTTAAATTAGAATAATGCAAGTATTAGTAAAATGATGACTCACATCAACCATCCAGACATCCACAGACAGGTCTTCTCCAATGCGCATGAGCTTCCACTGGTCACTTAGCTGCTGTGCTGCCTGCAAGAAGTACCTCCCGTCGGTCCAGAGAAGTGCTTCATTCATCGTAATAAGTGCCAAACCTAATGGAATTCAACAACAGTTACTTTACAGAACTAAAATAGATTAATCAGGGTGATGAAGGATCCATCACTAACATTTCAATACAGAAAACCAAATGTATGGAATATAACTAAGCGTTGCAAAATGAATTTATGTTTGTTTTGACTCAAGAGTTATGGATGACTTGACAATTCTAATTCAAATGGACTAATCCAAAAGAGTTTTGAGGCATTGTTTTTTAAATCTAAGCTATTTCATGGTTAGGAATTACAAAGCAGGTACATTATCTAAGAAACAGATTGAATAATTCACAAAAAAAAAAGAAGAAAGAAAAAAAAAACCCTAACCAGCACTTCCAGAGAATCCAGATACAAATTGACGCCTTTTGTCCCTTTCAGATACGTACTCACTCTGCAACAACATTCAATTAATGGAAGAAGAATTGAAAATCAGTTGATCGATCCCAAAGAAAGACATGCGATAGAAGGATCAAAGCGCGATTCAATTCAATATAATTATATTTAAATTCGAAAAAATAACAAATATTGATATGAAGAAAAAAAGTATTATTTAGAGAGAGAGAGAGACCTGATGATAATCTTCAGAAGGGACGACCAAGGCATCGAGAGGTGGAGAATGAGAAGTCATTAAAGACCTCAAAGCTGCGAGTGTGTCCGCCATGTTTGTGATCGATTTGAGTTTTTCCCAATCTCTCTCTTACTCCCTTTCTCTCTCTCTCTCCGCAGAATTGGATTTATAAGTGAGAGTGAGAATAAAGTAGCGTATTATGTGTGAAGTGAGAGACAGAAAGCTATGACTTTGCATTGGACTTGAAAACTAAGCTGGATTAAGATTCCTCGGACTCGGACTTCTTAAATAAGGTAAATTATAAATGCGGTGCTACGGTATTATATGTATTAATTAATATATTAATATTAATTATAATATTATTATTGATCTTACTTATTAATTATATTATAAATATTAAAAAAAATTTAAATTATATCACATCAATAATTGATACATATTAATTTGTGTATATATAACATTATTCATCAATTAATGTACATATTAGTGTTATGTTATTATTATTGGCCTCACCTATTATACAAATTATAAATATTCAAAACATTTAAACTTATATCACATTATCAGTTAGTATACTAGTTAGTATATTAATTGATACGTATAACATTATTTTTATAAATATATTGCGAAAATTAGATGCTTTTTAGATTGAGAAATGGTAGAGACTTTAAATATTTTATCAATATTTTCATTAAATATTTTATATATTATGTGAATTTCACATTTATGTGACATATTAGTAAAAATTTGGGGTCTTAGCATTACTTTTAAAAAATTTTAATTACATAATAAATAATTTACTTTATTAATAATTTATTAAATTAATTAATAATTGTTAATAATATCATAAATATATTTTAATTAATAATTTATATAATTTTACTGTTGCATAAGAAAATTGTTACGAATTTTATTTTTTATATTAATTTTGTTAAATAACAAAATTATGATAAAATAGTATTTGTAATTTTTAGAACGATAAAAGATAATTCGTATTTTAAATAAATTTTAAGAATGTATTCATAATTCTCTTAAATAATATAGGAAGAATTATAATTCAGTCTAATTTTTTAAAAATAATTTTAGATCATCAGTGGTAAATTGTATAATTTTTTTTTATTCTGAGAGTTTGTGTCAAGACTATTTACTGTAGTTTTTATTTATAACTTATTAGTCAGAAATATCATAAATAAACTAGAAAAAAAAATTAATTTGTAAAAATTGAACCATTTGGCTTCTATTTTTAGATTATAAATTTGTAATTTACAATAAGCTTGTACCAAACAATACCAATAGCTTCAAAGTCTTAGTGATGTACAAATAGAATAAATTAACAAAAATATTATACAAAATAACATGAAAAATTTCATTATTGTAATAAATTTTGTACGAAAGTTCTGATAATTTATGGAATTTCCTACACGAAAAGATTGGTGGTATAGTGATGGACTCTATTTCACCTGGCCCTCAAACCAATCACAATAGTGTGGTTAGCCTTATTATTATTATTATTATTATTATTTTTAATTTGCAGAAGAATAATTACAAATATAATATATATTTATAATATCAAACATATCACTACTTTATAATAGTTAGAAATTTAATAAAACTTAGCCAACTAATAAATCAAGCCCACTAAACTTGACAACCACTACCAATTATAAACAACCCTAATAATTAAGGAGAAATAAACATTATCACTAAGATATCAATTATTTATTTATTTATTTTTTTTTTTTGTGTAAGAGTTGAATTTGAGAACTTCCATCATAAAGGGCACTACATAACTACTAAACTAAAGGAAGGAAAATACTATAATCCCTAATAATTTAAATTTTTATTAAGTGCTTATTTGGGATAATGTAAAAAAAATAAAAAGTCACTAAAAAATCACTAAAAAGCAAAAAAAATTATACTATTTACAAACATTGGACGAGAAACTGTGGCTTAAAATCAGAGGACAAAAAGACAGAATTGTCCTTAATTTTGTCCCTAAAAAAAAAAAACAAAAACAAAAGCAGAGTGCATTGAACAGTGATGGACATAATTCACTGACATGCACGAAAGCAAATGTGCATGTTAGAAGGGTAGTTCAGTAATTTTGGTATTTCATACAATATTTTAATACATATTTTTTTTGTAAAAAGTCAAAAAATAATCCTAAACAATCATATTTTTTTCTTTACTTTTTTAGTTAAAAAGTCAAAAAGTATACTTATATAATTCATCTCAAACAACCCCTAAGTCTCTCACATAAGTATAAAAATCCATAATAACCTAAATATGTATGAGCCCTACACCCATATAAAAAGTTTACTAAAAAAAAATTGATAAACTAGCATAAAATAATTAAGGAGAAATAAACATTATCACTAAGATATCAATTATTTATTTATTTATTTATTTTTTGTGTAAGAGTTGAATTTGAGAACTTCCATCATAAAGGGCACTACATAACTACTAAACTAAAGGAAAATACTATAATCCCTAACTAAAGGAAAATACTATAATCCCTAATAATTTAAATTTTTATTAAGTGCTTATTTGGGATAACGTAAAAAAGATAAAAAGTCACTAAAAAATCACTAAAAAGCAAACAAAATTATTCTATTTACAAACATTGGACGAGAAACTATGGCTTAAAATCAAAGGACAAAAAAACAGAATTGCCCTTAATTTTGTCCCTTAAAAAAAAAACAAAAACAAAAGCAGAGTGCATTGAACAGTGATGGACACAATTCACTGACATGCACGAAAGCAAATGTGCATGTTAGAAGGGTAGTTCAGTAATTTTGGTATTTCATACAATATTTTAATACATATTTTTTTTGTAAAAAGTCAAAAAATAATCCTAAACAATCATATTTTTTTCTTTACTTTTTTAGTTAAAAAGTCAAAAAGTATACTTATATAATTCATCTCAAACAACCCCTAAGTCTCTCACATAAGTATAAAAATCCATAATAACCTAAATATGTATGAGCCCTACACCCATATAAAAAGTTTACTAAAAAAAAATTGATAAACTAGCATAACTCCTAAGCTAAACGTCCTAATTCAACCTTGTTATCAATGAAGATGGTGGTTGAAACTTTGCAATTACTAATGACATATTGTTGTCTAGTGATATATAGTGATTCTGGTTTTGACTAGACACTTGTGGTAGTTTGGACTCGGGTTTATAGTTTCTGAATGTTGATTTATTGTCTTTTTTATTCCTCAAATTTGGTTATTTGGACATGTTGAGTGTGTTTGGAACAGGTTGGTTGCTTGGTTTTCAAACATTGTGTTGCCCAAAATTTTGGTCCTCCGCTCGAGCGGCCTTTCTTTCGCTTGAGCGGGATTTGCAAACTCTCAGTACTTTGCACGTCTTGTAAAAGTACTGAAGGGGTGTTTTCCATACTTGAGTGGCATTTTTTACGCTCAAGCAGGTGGCACTCGAGCGGTTTGCCTATTGTCTGCAAAAGTACTAGAGGTGTGTATTATGCGCTCGAGCGGAACAACTTATTGTGTGAGTCGATGCTCAAGTGGACTGTGCATATATCAAATCGCGAAAATGACTTTTTACATCACTTTTTCAGATCTTTTCTTCCAAAAACCTTAAAGTGAGACTCTTTCTCTCTCTAAAATACACACTCTCTCTATATTTTCTCCTAGATCCGTTGATCTCTCCGCCCTAGTGTCTTTGGAAAAAGGGTAGAGCATCTTGAGAGCTTTATTTTGATCTAATTGGAGTTTGGTTTCGGCGTCGTTGGAGTTTCATGCTTGCTCCATTGGTCTTCTAAACTTGAGGTAGGGACTCTCTACACTGTAATTTGGGTTTTAACTTGATTATAGGTCGTTGTGTGGAAATGGTGGGATTTGGGGATGTTTTGAGCAAACCTAGGATTTGGGTCCAAGTTTGAAAAGAGGGGTTTCTATCTGGGTGTTACATAAATGATTATGGGGTTTGAGTGTGAGGTTATTTTGTGTCAAAATAGTTGGTTTTGGCCTTTGGGTTAATATTTGGAAAATGAGGAATTTTGCTTTGAAATGTCTTGAATAATTATTTTGTCCAAATAATAAAGTTGATATGGAGAATGTGAAATTGGGAGGTTGTGTACATGAATGGTGTTATTGGATTTGCTTAATCATTTACGTATGAAAATTTGATGATTTATCTACTACAGAGATTGTACATCTTTTTAGAGATAACTGCTTTGGACTATTGGTGGGGAATAGTCATGATTGTTGTAGACATTGCATGTGGATTAGGCGAATTGAAACTAATCCTTTAACCATTATCATTGAATATGGCTATGAATGATATACATTGTATATGTATGATATTTGGGAGGAGAAAGGGGATGTACTCCATGTTTCGGGGAGAAGAAAAGGGATGGACTCCATTGAACTAAGTTAGCCTGTGTGTCCAGGGTGAAAGTCCCGAAAACCATTTGTATACATGGGTGCTGATTCCCGCGGACGAAATTTTCGTAAAATGGCAAATAGAAGTGAATGCATTGCATGATGATTTTGTCTGTTGGAAACCCGTGAGGTGTATCTTTTGTTTGGTGGAATAAATGAAGTGGATGTATCTAATAAACCAAAATGAACGAATTTAGAAGCAAGCTTGGTATAACATGGCTTTGGAAAAGAGTTATAAAGATTTTGTCATTGGATAATGAACATGTGCATCATACTTTTATCTTGTTAATTCTCATATATTGTGTTAGATTGTTTCTACTGGGCTTTGATTCACCCTATTTTGGGAAACCATTTTCAGGTGTTGGTGATATGCCTCCACCAAGGCAATAGCTTGGAGGAACTTTTGGGAGCAAGAGTTTCTTTATTTTTGTTGTATATTTTTGTATAGCCAAGGGCTTTAAACTGTAATGAGCTAGGCTTACTTTTGTGTAACCAAATAAAGACTTGGAAAGATGTAAGCCCGTAGGACGTTTATTTTGTTGGTCATTAAATGGTATTACATGCTATAGATTCAAGATGTACATTTATGAATGTATATTGCATGTGTTATCTTTTGTAATATGAACTCTGATGAATGAAAGTATTTTATTTCTGTTATTCTTTCACTTATGAGTTGGATTTATTATACTATTTTAGGGGCGTTACAACTTGGTATCAGAGCGTACCGAGTTTGAATACTTTGGGTACGTGGGAATTGGTTAGTACCACAATGGGTTTGTCTCGCTTAACTGAGATGTTAGTATGTATTGTGTGGTTATGAAACAACACGCTTATATGATTATATG